AACAAACAGAGTGTGGCAGAGACTTGAAAAGCAATGGATGCAATTTATTACTTTGAGGGCTCATATTAAGGCAACTAATTTTTCAAAGCTTGTTGGAAGAACACTGATTCATAATGCCTGAGTTCTTTATTTTTTCTATGGTCTAGTATTAGCAACATGAAATAGGTTATCAGAAAACTCCAATTCAATTCCGTTTTGTCCAAGAACCTGAGGTAACTCATTGATTTCTCTCTTGCTTAGTCTATCCACTCACAAAACAAGACTGCCAACTCTGCCAAATAAACCAATTAATGAAACAATTCACTTCCTGAAGCCAGGGAAGGTGATTCTAGATAAGCAGGAGATGTTACCTTTAAAGTAGCCATAGTACTGGAGGTGACGGTACATAAAATTCTCATAGGGATCAGGAAGGGTCTGTGAAAGAAAAGGCCACGTCAATCAGGAAAAGTCTTTCAAGTGACACTGAACTGTTAACAAAAGCCACACAAGTTCTGTGGCAGAGGACAGACCTCAAGTTTTCTGTAAACAAAACTAGTGAAAGATATTTATGCAAATCATTCTATCTCGGGGATCAAGGTTTCCAACCGGAAAAGGGCTCCACCAGAAGCGACCTCGTGCTCCAGCTGCTAGCACTGGATGTCAGTGGCGTCCCTGGAGAGGGGTGTGTGCCTACCTCCCGCTTGAGCTCCGTTTCCAGTGCTGGGAACATGTTACTTCTGCATGGTACGCTGAAGCCCACTCAGCGATACTGTACGCAGCAGCAACTCGAGCCCAGTTTCCAAAAGGGTAGACGGATTACACAGCAGCAGCTACAAACCACAACAGGGCAGCTGAAAACACGGCCGATACCGCCATCCCTCCACTCCCACCCTACAGCTAGGTTCCGTCTCCTTAGGAAAGCCTGCGCGTCCGCCTGTCAAGACAGCCCCTCGGACAAACACCCAGCTGCGGGTGGGTCCCGCTGGAAGGCCCCGAGGCGCACCTGCGATCCGGAGGGCCGCAAGCCTTCCTGATTCCTCTGCTGGAGGTGCCAGGCCGCTCGCTGGCCCCATGCTTCTCGGTCCCTGAGGAGGGGGAATGCCACAACCTGGACGCCGCCGGAAACGGAAAAGACAGGGAGAAGAAAGGAGTCGTCTAGGGATGGATGTAAAAGAAAGGTCGGGAGAGTGGGTACTGAAAGCGGAATTCGGGTTCAGGGCTTCCTGGCTGCGGGGAGGAGTGGGGAAGGGCAGTTTCCTGAAGGGTCAGACGCAGGATTTCCCTGGAGCACAGAGCTAGGGGTGCGAGGGCCCCACGTCCCGGGCAACAGGGCTGGGCGCGGCTGCCGCGGCGACAGGAGAGCCCGGGCGAGGCCCGGGCAAGGCAAGCTCAGAGGCGCGGCCGGCCACTTAGCAGAGACGCTCGCAGCGTTCACCCGCCACAGCTTTCCGCGAGGGGGCCAGTAGCCTAGCAACCGCGTGGAGGGAGCGGAAGCAGGGCGGGGCGGTCGGATGTTCCGGGGGGCCCAGGCCCCGCCCCCAAGAGGCGGATGTGGGTAGGGGAAACCAGGGTCTGGCAACCGTTAAGCTATTGGGGTTTTAAATCTGGGAAAAATCGACGGCCAGCATCGCAGAACAGTTTCATTCATTCCTTTCATATAGTACTGCAGCTCCACTCTGTGGAATTGAAATTGAACTGATGTGTACAAGACCATTAGCCCTCAACCTATTTTCAGGCTTGTTTGGGGTTCTATAGCATAGTAATGCATTTACATTTCCTCTCTCCTTTCACGTTATAGTGCCTCCACCTCATAGGCCGAATTGAAATAACCTTCTATGAGACCAAGTGTATGTGACCTGCTGTATGGAGAGTGAACTTACTCTAAATTTTCACCCAAATCACAATTAAGAAAAAAAAAATTCAAAATTAAAGACAAATCCAAGAAATAAAAAAGTTAAAGCCACACATTCTGAGTATCAAGCTGGCAAATTTACAAAAAGTCCCATTGAGAAAAACACTGGTGCTGTGCAGCAATTCCTCCAAGTCTGGGACACGTAGGTGACAGTGAAGGCTGGAATGGCTAGTTGACAGCCTTTCATTTCATTTGCAGCAAATTACTCTTTGGAAATAACCAGAAAACAATTAAGCACAAAATGGTCACCCCTTTAGCATAATGACAAAATCCAACATGTTATCCATGCTTGGTAAAGTGCAGGGTCAGTAAAAAGGGGAAGAACTTCAACAGATGGATTGATACAGGGACTGCAATGATGGCCTCAAGCAAAGCTAGGATCGTGAGGATGGTGAGTGACTGAGCACCGCTTTCATTCTGATGTACACAGGCTCGCTGTGAGTCAGAGACAACTTCATGGCATCTAACAACATATGACAAGAGTCAGTGTTCCAACTGTTGTCTTTGCTTAACTTTCTTTATATAATGCTAAGTATGTATTAACTTTTATAATCAGAAGAAGCTATACTTTCTCAAAATGTTAACCCCATTCCATTATTTCTAGGATTTAATGTTTTAGATAGGGTAGTGCCCTCAGGCATTTGTTAACCAGAAGGTTGGCAGTTCAAGCCCACCAGCCACCCTTCAGAAGGAAGGTTGGCTACTTCCGTAGTGATACTGCCTCAGAAACCCAAGGAGGTGTTGCTATGAGTCAGACCCAACTCCACAGCAGTGGCTGCGTTTTGCATCAAATCAAACCCCCACTGCCATTGAGTCCATTCCGACTCACAGCAACCTCCAATGGGTTTCCAAGGCAGTACATTTTTACAGAAGTAGATTGCCCAGTCTTCCTTTCATGGAGTGGCTGGTAGGTTTAAACTGCCACCCTTTTGGTTAGCAGTCAAATGCTTTCAGCACTGTGCCACCAGACCCTTTCGATAGGGCATAAGCTCCAAAAATTTAGGTCACACAACACTACCTGGTACAAGAAGCCTGTTTTCATTCCTTTCAAGCTCAAGATCCTACTGCCATTTCTCTTCCTGAAAGCTGTTCATCATTGTTTGCACATACCTTGTACAGCATTTGATTAGAAAAAACAAGTTGCTAACCAATCAGAAGTATAAAAAAGCTTTATTAGTGTATATATACAAATTTACAAGGCCCAAAACTGGAGAAATACAAACAGCTTTAAAACACAAGTTGCCTTTTCTTCAGTTTAAAGTGACTTTTACCTGATTGTGATACAATAGGAAGTACAGAAGAGTAAACTGCTTTTTAAATACTGGAATTTTATGGAGAATATAGTCACACATAGAAGGGAGATGAATTTTGGAACAGACAACAGAGATACATTAATACATACAGTGGCTCTTGTTACATTTACTGCCACCTACTTGGGGAAACTCTCAAAAATCAAGGACATGAACACCTACTGTTATCTGTATTAAAATTTAAATATGCCACCCATTTATCATGTGAAATGACTGAGAAAAACCTGAAGTGTGTGGCCATTTGTCAGCAAAGGTTGACAGATCTCAGCACTTTAGGGGCAGGAGACTTTAGGGGAAAAGAGGTCAGAGAAAGATCCCAAGAATCCAAGTTTCACGAGGTGTAATACAGAGCTGCCTTCCCAATCGCACTTGTTCTGGAGTAGAAGTTAGTGAGAGTGCCACCAAGAACTAAATGAGCCTCTAGGCAGGACAACCTTTCACTCTGTCAGCGAGTCCTTCACAGAGCTGACATACTCATGGGCCACATGTTTAAATCGATGAGGTTGATACACCGAATATGCTGAACTTCCCAGTATGAAAATAAAGGTAAGCAGGTGAAAGCAATGCCAATTACCTCATCCTTCAGCAAAACCGAAAAATAACATTTCACAAATGTGAAAACTTGGTATGGATATGCTCTTGCCCAGGAAATTCAAATGTTCTCCCCAGTAACATTTACAGTTTGACAATACTAAAACTGGTTAAGGCTCTGAACTGAACACAAAACAAAACAAATACTAAAAATAAAAAAATTTTTTCATAAAAAAAAAAAAACCACATTATGTGTTTGGAGCCATTTTCCTTCTCTTCAGTCTTGCGCGCCAATCCTCTGGAAGGGCTTCGAAATTAGCATTCCTTTCTGCCATGCCACTGTGAAGAAAGAATGGAGATTATTTCACTGAAAAGCAAAAATAAAAGTTCCCTCCCTAGCAGAAAAAAGCTTGAACAGAAAAGCTATCATATCACATCTATATTCATAAAAATGTTCACGTTTCTTAGCTAAATACCAGCACATTTATCAAATTTCTTAATTCTGAGGGATCAACCAAGACACTCTATAAAAAAAACTCAAGCTCACTTCGGTTGAGTCGATCCCGACTCAGAGCAACCCCTCCCTGGGTTTCCGAGGCGGTATCTCTATGGAAGGAGATTGCCCAGTCTTACTTCCATGGAGTGGCTGGTGGGTTTGAACCACCAACCTTCTCGTAAGCAGTCAAATGCCTTAGGCACTAGACCACCAGAGCTCCCCAACACTCTATACTCTTTATAATTTTATATACGCATAAATGTACATTTATTTATGTATACATGGCTCCAATAACCATTAAAGCCACACTGAAAGAATAAAGTATGTTCTCGTAAAAGTTTCTCTTAGCAGTCAGATGCCTCAGTCACTTCGCCACCAGAGCTGGTGGGTCAGCAGAAAAGACGACGACCCTCAACAGATGGACTGACACAGTGGCTGCCATGACCGGCTCGAGTACAGCTAGGACTGTGAGGAAGGTGCACAACCAGGTAGTGTTTCATTCTGTTGGACACAGGCTCGCTATGGGTTGGAGCCGACTTGATGGCACCTAACAATAACCTTCAAAACTACGGGAGCCCTGATGGTGCAGTGGTTAAGCACTCGGCTGTCAATTGATAGTAGGTGGTTTGAACCCAGCAGCTGCTCTGTGGGACAATGAGGAAGCAGACTGCTTTTGTAAAGATTTACAGCCTTGGAAACCCCATGGAGGAGTTCTACTCTGTCTTTCTGGGACACTATGAGTCAGATCAACGCAATGGCAGAGGTATTTTTTTGTTTGTTTTTTTTTTTTAAACAACAAAAACAATAAACTCTCAAAACTAGGAAACTATGGAAATTTAGGTTTGGTATGTTTACTTGTTAAAATCTCTAACATAGTTTTCTTCTTAAGCCTTTGTATCGTTACTTCCATAAATGATTTGTAAAGTAAATTTATTAAAAAGACAGGGTCCATCAGATCTAAACATAAATGGTGATGACTATTTTTCCAGGTACATAGAGGATTAAGACAGTCCTCCACCTAACAGACTATCAGTGGAAGTAAGCATTATACCTCTGATATTTACAGTTTGAAAAAAGGATAGATCATGATGTTTATAGGGAAATAAATACTTCTATGAATTAAAATTCAGGTGAATATGGCTTATAGAAGAGTAGCGAAAACTAACTAAGGGCTGTGATTTTAAGAGTATGACTGCTCTACAATGACGACAACCACCACAATTCACACCAGTCTGTGATCATTTTGTTTACCTGACCAGCTGCTGCTGTTTCCACTCTTCTATTCGCTTCTGTGCGGTGGATTCCCGGTCCTCTTCACTGGAACTGGAGTTTTCCTCTTCATCTAACTCACGCTGGATACTCTGCCACTTTTTTACCAGAGATGGCATTTTGGTTTTACTCTTCTTTGCCTGTTAACAATGATTGAAGAGGGAATGCACTACATAAAAACAGGAGAGCAGAAAAATGCAACCTTCTGGCATGGGAGGTTGTGATCTAGGAAAAACGCTAGTTCTAAGGCATAAAAACCAAACCAAACCAAACTCATTGCCATTGAGTTGGTTCCGATTCTACCGACTCCTCTTTGGGTTTCCGAGGCAGTATCTCTACAGAAGTAGAGTGCCCAGTCTTCCTTCCAACAAAGGCATTAAGTTTGACTTTAAAATCAAAACAAAAAATGAATACCACTCTAAGTTGTTTGTTGGAAATTTTTACCAACTATAAACCAAAAGCTTAGTTAAAAATACAAAGAACTATATGTATTTTAAGGAGCTCTAGTGGTGTAGTGCCTAAGGCATTTGACTGCTAACCAGAAGGAAGACTGGCCAATCCTCTTTTGTAAAGATTTATCACCTTAGAAACTCAATGGGAGTCGCTGTGAGTCAGAATCGACTCAATTACAATGATTTTTTTTTTTTTTTAAATACATGTATTTTATATAATTAAAGAAGTTTCATTTAGTCTCCCTAGCCTCTGGTAGCATAGTGCCTAAGGCACTTGACTGCTAACCAGAAGGCTGGCGGTTCAAACCCACCAGCCACTCCTCGGAAGGAAGGCTGGGCAATCCTACTTCTGTAGTGATACTGCCTCAGAAACCCAAGGAGGGGTCGCTATGAGTCGGGGCCGACTCGACGGCAAACAACAACAACAACAACAAGTCCATAAAATACAAAAGTGCTGCCCTTATGCCATCTCCTCAGAATTATAGTGTTCCCTTTTACAAATTTTAAATAGACATGATGTTCACATGAACTGAAAAACAAGAGCCAACTGTTTCTGGAAAGAGTAACGAAATCCATGACAACTATTAAAGAGGAAGGAAGCAAAACCCTTTTCTGTCCTTACATTGCTTATTTTTCTTTATTGCCTTTCAAAATCACCTAACATATATTTATTTGCTTATTTATCTCCCCTCCTTACTCCTTGCTAAAAAGGAAGCTCTACAAAACAGATTTTATGCTATTTACTACCGAATCCCAAACTTGTAGGAAGAGTGCCTGACACAGTAGTTTTTATCTCAGGGCTGTTTGCTTCGAGACTCCACCAAGTTATTCTGTAAGCGGGAGCAAATGGTAGTTGTGACTGGGTGCTACGTGCATGTAAGGACTGGGGATCAGGATCAAAGGTGCTTTTCCTGGCTGTACTTGAGATAGAGTTCTTGGATAACATCCCCTAACACTTGAGAAAATAAATTTAACATCTTCAGCCTTTTACATTATTTGGTTTTCTGCCCAATATCCTGTTTGTACTCCATTGAGTTCTTCACTTTCTGGGAAATGCCCATCAGTAATACTCAGATCTTCAGCTCCACATACAACCCATACTCTATCCTGTCATTTCACCTGTGGTGCAACCTGACGCATTACACACACACATCCCTCCGACAAGCTCCAGCATAGCCCCTCTGAGTTAGCATGGGACTGACTGAGTTAAGGTAAGTTAAAATAGTAATAGTCATGTGAGCACATCAAGTACCCTCAACTTAACATCTGCAAACAGATTAAAAAGGACAGATCCAGATAGAGTCACTATTGTTTCACTGTGACTTCTGAAGGGCTTGGTAAATTTTTGTGGGAAAATACAATTAGAAATTATTCATTGCCTATTGTAATCAAAAACAGCCATGGTGGCCCAACAGTTAAGCGCCAGGATGTTAACTAAAAAGTTTCAGGTTAGCTCTGCAGGAGAAAGACCTATAAAGATTACAGCCTAGAAAACCCTGTGGGCCAGTTCTACTCTGGCACATGTGTCAAAATGGACTTGATGGCACCCAGCAAGACCGTCTTCAAAACCATGGATCCAAAGAGTTGCATGGGACTTTGAGCACATTTTTAATAGCAATTGGAGGAATAAAGATTAAATGACTAGAAACTCCTTTCTTCTAGTAAGTGGCCCATGAAACTCTAGCAAAAATTGAAAATATGCATTGGTCTCAAATACTTACACTTCTAAGACATTAATAATATATTTTCTGTTCTTTAACAATGGCCTCTAACAGCTGAACTATTAGGTATGTCTATGCAGCAGGGAGGAGCTCTGGTAGCATAGTGCCTAAGGCACTTGACTGCTCACCAGAAGGCTGGTGGTTCAAACCCACCAGTCACTCCTCGGAAGGAAGGTTGGGTAATCCTACTTCCGTAGTGATACTGCCTCGGAAACCCAAGGAGGGGTCACTATGAGTCGGGGCCGATTCGACGGCAAACAACAACAACAACATGCAGCAGGGAGTGTAAACAAGATCATGTAGAGGGTTGGCAGACAATGGTTCTACAAGTGTATTTGTATGTTCTGTAAGAAATCCCAGGTATATAGTAGAGATGACAAGGGACAAGGTTGTAGTCACTTCCTGGTCACAGCCAGCTACCCAGAGGGAGTGAGGAGCTGAACCTGTGGGCTCGGGGCCATAGTTATAGGGGACATCAAGCTCAACTGGCATACTACACAAAACATTGTTCCACCTCCTACTTTGGCGAATAGCGACTAGGATCTTAAAAGCTCACAAGCAGCCATCTAGATGCAACGATGGGTCTCTCCTTGTCCAGAGCAAAGAAGAATGAAGAAAACCAAAGATTCATGGAAACAATTAATCCTAGTGACTGGTACACCATGCGATCCGCAGCCTATATGACTATGAGACCAGAAGAACTAGATGGTAGCTGGCTACCACTGTCAACCACTCGGAGGAAGATCTATGTAGGAGATCCTGGATAGAGAGGGAGAACAATGTGGAACAAAACTCAAAATCATTTGGAGGAAAAAAAAGGGGTGGGGGGGACCAGGTTTGCTGGTCTGATAGAGCCTGGTGGAACCACTGAAACTATGGCCCCTAGCTGCCCTTCAGGTCTGGAACTGAAACCACACCTGTGGCTTCCAGCCAAACAAAAGACCGGCATAGGAGGTGAACATTTACCTGAGGTAGATATACTTCTTGGAGAGAACAATCATGGGAGAAGGAAGGGCTGTTTATGCACAGGGAGACGGCTCAGAGGGCAGGAGGGCATGGAGGGATGGACACAGGGAAGAGGTAACTATCGGGAGGAAGTGGGAGGGGAGCTGTTGCATTGTGGTAAGTTGTAGTCAATGTCATGACACAAAGTGTATATGAACTGCTTGCTGTATAGAAAGTGAATTTGCTCTCTAAACTTTCACCCAAATCTCTCTCTCTTTCACACACACACACACACACACACACACACAGGCTTATAACAACAAAAAGATGGCATATGATGCATGCAATGGACTATTACTCAGCTACAAAAAGGAGTGAAGTACTGATAGTGTGGCTGGATTTTGAAAACATTATGCTAAATGAAGTAAGTCAGACACAAAAGGTCACACAGCGTATGATTTCATTTATATGATATCCAGAATAAGCAACTGTAGAGATAGAAAGCAGACTGGTGGATGACGGGGGACGGAGACAGATTACTTAATGGGTACTGGGTTTTCTTCTGGGGTGATGAAAATTAGTTAGAATTAGATGGAGGTGGCAGTTGTACAACAGCATGAATGTAATGAATGCCAATGAACTGTACAGTTTAAAATGTTAAATTTTGTTATGTGAATTACACCCTAACATTTTAAATTTCAAACAAACAAACAAACAAACCCAGATATCCTATACCTTATCTTTCTTCCCTTTTTTGGTCTTCTCAGGTGGTGGGATTTTGGGAGCTGGTGGTGGCGGTGGTGGAGGTGGAGGCGGAGGAGGAGGAGGTTCTAGCATGGTGTTGGCAGGCACAGCACCTCGAGCCTGAACTGGCTGCAGTGTGGTAGCAGTCATTCCAATTGGGACAGAGCATTCAGCATAGCTCATCATTGCAGATGCTGTTCCAAGTCCTAGGTAATTCGCCTGCAGGCTCATTCCCCTGGCCTGCTGACCCATTCCTGCTGCTGAGTGACTAACTGTCATTGCTGTGTGTCCAATCCCTGCAGCCTGGTTACTGATGCCCGCTCCTGTTGCCTGCTGACCTAATACAAAAAACAAAATGACACTATTAAAAAAGGACAGGGCCACAAGATCCCAAACAAGGAAAAGAAGAAAGAGGGAATTAGAGGTTACATCATCTACAAAAAGATTTTAACATGCTTTTTTCCTTAAAAAATACAGCTACATTTGGCCAGAAACAAATTACTAATTTCTAAATACTTTAGCACAAAGGTACTTCAACATCTAAACCACTCATGTATATAAATGCCATGGAAAGGATCTGGAAGAATACACGCCAAACTGGTAACAGCAGCTTTTAGAAAGAGAAAGGAATGCACGTAAATAGCTGTTGCAATCAAAAAAGTCATTTCTTCAATTTATGGCATCTAATGATGGAAATAAAGAGCTCATCCACATAAAAACACACACTCTAGTCGTGATGCTGCGTGCTTACCCCTGGCTCCAGCTGACTGGCTGTAGAGGACAGGCGAACTCCCGATCGTGGCGGATCTCTGCACGACCGCAGGACTCATTTCGGTAGCTTTTCTCTTCACTGCTTTAGTGGAAGGAGAGCTAGAGGTGCTAGAATCAAGTGAACTCTGAAACAAGAAAGACTCTGGTGAGTGGCTGAGGCCCTGCTAAAAGATCCATCTTCTACAATAAAACACAGTATTGATCATACTCCAGTCCTCCAAAACTCTTCAGAATGTCAACTGGCTTCACTCACCTGAGTAGTTACAACCGTGGTTGGTGTTGAAGGTTTCAAAGGAGTATCCTCCTCCGTTCCTGGGGCAGGAGGCTCCTCACTTCCCTCATCTTCCATCTCTACCTCCTGGATCTCACCATCTTCTACAGGAGGTGGGGGTGGGGGTGGGGGAGGAGGGGAGTCTGGAGGTGGAGGTGGGGGTGGAGGCATTTCCAAGGGTAACGGAGGTTGAAGCACAGGCACATTTGACTGAAGAAGAGTCCAGAATGGAGTAAGTGGCATGAGTGATGAAGAAGAAACTTGGCCAGAAAAGGACTCTTTACAAAGAGAACCTATGAAAAACAGGTAGGTGTCAGGGAAAGCATGTAACAAAAACTCCGTGATTTATAGTCAGAGAAATGTTCAGTTGATTGGTGAGATAAACATCAATAGAATAGGAACCTAGTACAGCGTGCAAAGGAGTTTCAAACAGTTGAGACTGGCTTCCCCTTCCCTAACAAAACCATTCTAGGCACCTACTTTACACTCATCATTGCAGTGCCACTGATGGCACTGAAACAGTTAAGTTTGGAAAGGACTTTCATAAAAAGATAAATTTATGAACCTCAGTTAGCACGCCCCCTAGCTGTGCTGTACTAGTCTTGTTCTTTGTGCACAGATTTGTAGATGAGTAAATGAAGCACAGCAACTCAGGAAGAAATTCAGGAAGTCACCTGAATCTGTCATTTGGAGGTTTTTATTTCACATATTCAATTTCAACACACACCAACTGGAAGGTAAGACTCTGGGGTCTTTTTTATTTCAAAAGTGAAGGGGTGAGTGGGATGCATTTGCAACACCAATTCCATGTTTCTCAGTGAACTAAAAGGTTAAGTGATTGGGGATGACCCAGAGAAGTATCCACTCCAAACATACACCAATTCTATACATTCTAATTAATCTGAGTTACTAAATTAAAAAAAAAAAAATCCATTTGCAGGTGCTACCATCAACCCTAGAAGCTCTGGTAGCGTAGTACCTAAGGCACTTGACTGCTAACCAGTAGGCTGGTGGTTCAAACTCACCAGCCGCTCCTCGGAAGGAAGGCTGGGCAATCTGCTTCCGTAGTGATACTGCCTCGGAAACCCCAGGAAGGGTCGCTATGAGTCGGGTCCGACTCCACGGCACATAACAACAACCACCGGCACATAACAACAACCACCGTTAATCCTAGTTCTTTCACACCTTTGTGTAAATTTTATTAATTTGCCAAATCACAGCAACACAAATTAGGGAGGGTCCTTTTTATGTTTGTGAGGCGAAAAGGGAAATTTAGGGGGACAATATTCAAAGTAAATGGTATCCAAGGTCTACAAAGCGGTGTCTGAATAGGCAAAAGAAGCGAAATTGCTGTTGCCAACGTTTAAGAGTTAAGAATCAGGGCTAGTCTGAAAATCTGCAGGGTAAGCTTTCCTTAAAGTTTGCAAAAGCCATAGTTAATTTTTGTCCCTTTTCTGACAGGAACAGCTTTCAGTATTAGAGAAAACAGGAGGATATACTTACTTGTAGCCTGCCCCATCCCTCTTTATCGTCAATAGGGAAGTTTCTCAATATTTGGGACTATTACAAATATATCCCAGGAATGTTGAAGGGGATTTTCTCCCTAAAATCATAGAATTTAGGAGTAGAAGAGACATGAGAAATCACCTAGTTCAACCCTCTCATTTAAAGGTAATGAAACCCAGGAGGAGGGAACTGACATGCCCGAGATTACCCAGCTCTTAATGGCCAGGCCAGAGCTAGAGCTCAGGTCTGACTTTTAATCTAGTCCTTTCTATTTCACCAAGATTCCTGGTGAAAGTTTAGGATTCCAGACCTCTAGGAATTTCAAATAAATCTCATCTCTCACGGAGTAGAGATGCAGATGCAGTTACCTGTTAAATTTCATGGTCAAAGCAGTAGGTTAAAGAGTTAATAAATAAAAGCCTCCAGGGCAGGGAGAAGGCTTTTGAGAACATTATTTACTTCAAAGTGTATTATACCAGCACTCCAAAAGGGAAAGTCAAAGTGACTAAGAGCCATTTGACTTTAAAGCAGCTTTACTTTTTAGAGAACAGATGAATGATACACTGTGTTCGGCCACCATAACTGACTGATATGTTGTTTACTACTAAAGAAAACAGTACTGAAAAAATTCTATGAGAAAACAGGAACGTAGTTTTCCAGCTAAAAGATGTCAAAAATGATTCAATAAGCTTGTCTAGCTAGATCTAATCGAAATTTAAGACACGTTTAGACAAATAAAGTCTGGGTATGCCAAGTAGACTATATGAAGTAACAGCACAGGAAGATTACTTCAGAACCAAGATAACAAACAGGGAGGATTAACAACACATTACACTTCCTTCCATCAAACCAACCACAACATGTAAGTAGATACACACATTTGATTTTATACATTGGTAGGTTTCCCTCTAGAAGTATAATGCAATCAATACTGATACGTTTATGATGGTGGCATAGTGCTATGCAGAGAAATTCAAGAAAACAAAGTATGGGTAAGGTGAACATGGTTTATAGCCTCTAGCAAAGCTCATCAAATTTAAACTTTGTGTAAATACAAAATTAAACTAGACTTGGTAATTTTGGCAGCAAGCAAGGAATACTTCAACTGAACCCCAAACTAAGTATGTTTATTCAAAACATACAAAGTTGTGTCTTAATCTTTCTTTTACCCGAAACACAAACAAATCTTAGTTTGACATCCATGGAACATCCAAAGATGCTCTTCGTATTAAAATTAAACTGTTTGTATTTTTGCCATTTGAGAGAGACTTCTACCCTGAAGGCTGAGTAGAGATTAAAATGGCATATACACACAGCTTTTATTATTTTGGCTAATAGATTAGAAACTACAAGGCTAATGACAGAATAGTTAGGGATTTAAATCCTAAATTCTTCAAAAACTTTTTTCCTATGTATCTTTATTTTTATTTATATGCCACCTAGCTTCCTTTGTTTTCCTCTATCTCCCCAAAGTGAAAATTACTGTTTTGCATTTTAACTTAAAAAGCCAGGTTAACAATTCAAAACAAAAAATTTCTAAACAAATAATAGTTTCATAGATGGATTAAAAATAGAAAAAGCTAAATTTAAACTGACTGACAAAAGCTCAGAAAGACAAGTTAGATATCTGAAAGGATCACCCATCTTTAGACACCTGGGAGTCCCTGGGCGGTAGTGTGAATGACTGAGATGCTCAGCTGCTAACGTTGGAGGTTTGCGACTACCCAGATGTGCCTCAGAATAAAGGCCTGGTGATCCACTTCCAGGAATATTGGTCCCTGAAAACGCGATGGAATACAGTGCTACTAGGACACACGGAAGTCTAAGTTGACTTGAGGGCAACTGGTTTTTTAAAGTAAGTGGTCAATTCAGATATTACTAAACAAGGATTAAAAATTGTTTAGAAAAATGAGTAGAACTTTGAAATGTCCTTACATCTCACAGTATAAGAACTTTTCTTCTTTAATAAATGATTTTACCACTTCAGAACTAAGAGCATATATTTATATAAACCGTTTATGACGTTAAAATAATTATGACCAGTAGTGGTTCCCGATCCCCCATAAGTTTTGCTCCTAAATCCCAAAGTCTTGGTATCAGATTTGGATTTTATCTGGATCAAGTTTATCATGTGGTTCTAAGGCGTGTCAATAAAGAGAAGTTAAGGAATATTTAAGTTAGTCATCAGTGACTTTTCCCACAAGCACTAGTTTTGTTTTAATCACATGAAAATGGCTCCAGAGCTTCCTTTAACTAATAATATCACCTGTGTGTGTGTCTCATCAGTAGGAGCTCTGGTGGCATAGAGCCTAAGGCATGTGATTGCTAACCAGAAGGCTGGTGGTTTTTAACCACCAGCCACTCCTCGGAAGGAAGACCGGGCAATCTACTTCCGTAGTGATACCACTTCGGAAACCCAAGGAGAGGTCGCGCTGAGTTGGCACTGACTCGACGGCATTGAGTTTAGTTCGGTTTGGTTTGTATGTCTCATCAACAGAGGAAGAAAAAGGCAGCTGTAGTGCTCACAGAACCACAAAAAAATGAAGAGTTAGTAATTCTAGAATAATCAGGTTTGAAACATACAGGAAAGAAAAAGAAGGCGCTATGATATTCATTAGACAGTGGTCAGGAGTAGACTCTCCTACTAGAACTACCATCAGCCTCTTCAGTTCACTAACTAAAAATCTAACAAAAAAGCCAACTCACTGTTAGATATCATTACTATCAAGGAGCTTGGTGGTGCGGTGGTTAAGCATTCAGCTGTGAACTGAAAGGTCAGTGGCTTGAATTCACCAGCCACTCCAAGGAAGAAAGATGTGGCAGTCTGCTTCTGTAAAGATTTTCAGCTACAGAAACTCTATGGAGCACTCACTTCTACTTTGCTCTATAGGGTTACTTTGACTCGGAATTGACTCCACAGCAATGGTTTGGTTTTCTTTATTGATACCAATGCCACAAAGGAGGGGGAAAAGCATTCCAAAGGAAATCTCTTCATAAAGAGAAGTAACATACCCTGCAACTTGAGAAAATACACTTCTGAAATGTGATATAGCAGAAAACTATACTTGGTTTTGTTAATTCTAACTTATCACAGCAGTCATACGTGACTTTTCATGTAGGGTGATCTGATAAAGATTCACAAGGCATTGAACAGAACTGATAATTTGGTGTGTATCGCAAGTTTCATTTGGCACACTAGCAGACTTTTTCTACTAGGACCGAAAGCCAGTAGAATACAAATCAGTACTTCTTATAAGCTGAGGACCACAGAATTCAGCTCTTTCCTCCCTGTACTACCAACAAATTTCATGTTTTAATCTTCAAAGATTACCTTAGAAACCACTTCACAGATTTTTGCCTTCAAACAATTCCCAAAGAAAAGAACAAGGGAGTTTGTGAAAGGTGACTCGTCCCTCTTAGACTGTGAAATTCATGTTTTTGCTATTAACAAACAGCTACCAAGTTTTAAGAACAAAAGGTTTTCAGCCTTGACTGTGTTACTTTACTCACTTACTCCTGCCATCCAAAGGAAGATGGATTTAGAGGGGAAAAACTGAGCCTTTTGTTTATCAAAAATACCTATAAATGTCTTTGTCAGGTGAACATTTCAGAAACAGCCATTAAACATCCACAATGTGGTAATGAAGCTGTGGCTCTTCTGAAGAGCAATCTGATCATCAGAATACTTTAAAAAATGTGTGTAACTATCTGAAATCTAAGATGACTACTTAAATGGGATGAGCCGATTTGATTGTGTTACACTAGAATGTTGCTGGTGACTTTTAGTAATTATTGTGCTTCTCTGAAACAAGCATGGTCCTAGTTTTTAGTTTTTCCATAGATCATTTTGATTTGCAGAGTCGAAATATGAGGTTGCAATAGCAACAGACTAAGTGTTCTACAGAAATGCGGAACAAATCTCGTATTATCACTCCACGGAGCTGGATGGCGACAATTCAACTGCTTCTAGTTCTTTGGCATCTATTAGCATCCCTGCTTTTGGAAATCAATAGCATAACAGTGGCTACAGGACAATTTTTAAAGTCAAAATATAGTGGCTTATCATTCCATCTTTGAGCAATCTGATAATGTGATAACAATAGTACTATTGATTTCTAACCAGTGATCTTAGTTTGTTTCAGCATAATTCATGTATTATTTATTTATTTTAAAAGCCATGCTACTATTTCTTAATTAGAAGCTTTATACTATCAATTTCTTTATACTTCCCTTATAAAGCAACAAGTGTTTTCCCCTCTAAAATCTTTTCTCTCTAATTAGTATAGGGTGAATTGTCCCACCTGTGGAATTCTCGGAGGATTCTGCAGAATTTGAGTCAGTGCCAGTTTTGTCTTTCAAAATCTGTTTAGGAAGAGTTTCGTCTCTACTTTCTTGTACTTGGCTTTCTTCCTCCTCCTCCTCACCATCTGGGAACTCCCACTGAGACTCGCCCGATTGTTCGTTTACATAGAAATATCGTCTATGATCCCTAAATTACAAGAAAGAAAACACACGTTTTAAAACCCATTCTCCTACAAAAACACTCCATTTGGTCCTGTCCCAGGACAGCAGTCTGCTCTCACAGGGACGAACCTCTTCTTAATGGACTGCTATTCACAAAGGCAACAAAGAGCTTTGACAATTGAGGATGGAGAGCCAAGGACAATTCAAAGCTATTTGCACTGCCAGCAGCTCTGTGAATACAGCCCTGAGCCCTCCACAACAGATGACTTAGAAAACATCTCTCTCTGTGTGTATATATATGTATTTTTTTCTTTTGCCAATGCAGGGTTTCAAGTTTCATGACTGAAGGGACTCAATCGCCTAGAACACTAATTTCCCTTCCAAAGAAGAGAACAACGGAGTTTGTGAAAGGTGACTCTTCCCCTCTTGGACCGTGGAATTCACATTTCATACTCTTGGTATCAAACACAGTGAAAGCTAAAGAGAGGGAGAGGATCTGGGAGCTGAAAAATAAAAGAGCAAAGATTTCAAATAACGAAAAAAAAAATCAAGAAAAGCCAAATATAAAAAGAAATATTTTCATCTGACCTGCTGGCCGAAGATAGTAATCTTGTTCTTCATTCACATCTTCAGCCACGAAGCTTTCCTTAACTTCACCGAGGTTAATCAGGAGTAGTTGCTTCCAGAGGTCCTGTAAAGCGCACAGAGCTCTCGCATGCGCTTAACCCCCAAGCCCGCCCTACTCCGTGCAACACTCTGGAGAGTAAACACCAGCTTTGTCCAATCTTGGGAAAAAATCCGTTACATGGAACACTTTAAACACTGCTTTTTGTTTCTCCAATGTGTGGCTGGCCCAGACTCTGTAAGTGCTTGTGGTGCTCTGCCTGCCCAGCACCGCTAACAGCAGCTGCTCGCAGTCTCCAGACAGGCTGTCACGTCGTCAGGTGGTGGTGATCACAAATCAAGTCTGAGATGTCAAAGGTGAAAGGTGAAAAGGGGAGAAGAGTGCGTACCTGTCCCAGTGGCAGGACCAGCCTTTTGGTGTGGCGTTTATTTCATACTGTTTTAGTTGTTCTGCTGCATCCTGAAGTTTTCGTTTAAGGTAGTTTCCATTAAGAGCCCCTTCCCGCCAGTCTGCAATCCGAGTCTAGAGTCATCAAATGAGTAGAGAAACGAGTTATGAGTTATTAATGTCTGGTGACAAAGGCTACAGGAACACAAATCTTCTGGTAGAGGAGTTACACTACTATACTCTGGCAGAAAAGATGGTAGACCAGAAGGAAAGAAATCCCACTACAATTTTATAAATCAATTCCATTTGCTCTGGAGAGCTGTGAAAAATGGACTGGGCCCCTGTATATTTTTGCCCTGCCAACTCTTCAGTATCTGTGAAAATGAACAACAATCATTTCTTCACCTCTTTGGTCTCTATTAAGAACGGTCTCCCTAGATTTTGTAAATTATGTAGACTATAAAGGGACTCAGAAGTTCTTTTTAAGTAATATAATGCTTTAAGCACTTCTGTAGCCTCACTTTATCATTATAAATAGAATCTTCATTTGTTAGATAATCTGTATTAAAACATATACCTTGTACACACAGGGAAACCTACGAGAGCTGGAACTCGACAGGACTGACTTATTTTTCCAGGTTTTCCAACTTTTCCACTTTTGACAGGATGAGTCTTACCATTTTTCTATCACTCATTTTAGTGGACAATATTCAAGTTTTCCTCCGACAGACTTCTGCCTTACACAAGTTCTAGCTTTCCTGCATTTTACTATAGCAGGAATCACCACATGACATACTCTCAATATTTATCTTCATAAATATATTTTGCTTTGGCTAATAATACAGTCTTATCTTTTGGGCTGGTGGTTCATATATGCACCAAAGTAAAAAATTAAATTTAGAAGCAATACACAGACTATGGTATTTTACACACACAGCATTTCATTCAAATACTGACTGTTCATATCAAAAACGGCTAACTTACCTCAGTCTGTAAGAGCAGCACATGAAAGTTGGAGATGGACTGTCTATTAATGCCTAGGAATTCAAATTTACTGGTCAGGGTATTTGCCAGTTCTCCTATCTGAAACTGTATAGCAGGAAAGGAAAAACAAAAATAAAATGTATAATTTTATGTGAAATCTTTCATTTACTATCATAGAATTTAGAACTATAAGCCTACAAATAGCCTTCCTCAAAGAGCTGCACCTAAGCAGTTAACAGACAAAACTTTAATTTATAGTAAAGAAATTCAAAAAAAAAAATGATAGTAACAGAAGCTCTCCACAAATAAAATGCCTATATACTCACACCATCATAATGCTTTCTAATGTAACATGGAATTCAACATTTGAAAATCAATCCTGAGTAATATAACTCGTAATATTGCCCAACCTGTCCTTTATACATTCATTAACTACTTTACCCTAGCCACATGATGAAACAAAATTAATTTTCCTAGTCCCTAGTACATAATTGTAAAGACAAGATACGTTCTTTCAGGTCCAAAGCATATGCTAAGTGGCTTTTCTAAAATAGGGCCCTTAAATAGCCAAATATTCACTTGGTCCAACTCTCCCCCTTAGAAACATATAGAATAAGCAGTTCATGCAGGAATGAAATCTGTGATTTTGATTCTGTTTAGTTCTTTCAAACTATAGAAGCAGCATATTTGATAAGCTACTGCTTTCCAATGAAAGGTTAACATGCAAAAAATTAATTTATTCAGCATTTAATTTTATAGTATCTCTCCATCAAGAAGGCCTTATAATCCCTTAATTTCACCTTTTCACCGTATGTTTCAAGAAGGTAAAGATTACTTTTCCTATTTGTTAATAAGAAAAAAAAGTAGTTTAATGGCAAACTTTTTTAATACTAATCCATCAAATTGTATTAAGTAATACACATACTTTTAAATCTTGTTCCTCTACTTTTGGTGCTGTTTGTACTTTTGTCTTCTCTGGAGATTCTTCTACTTCTCCCTCTTTGTCTGAACTCTCATCTATTTTTTCAGAATTTTCAGCACCAATTGCTGTAAACAAAAACGTGAAATTAAATGTCAATGCTCATAAAAGCCCCATGTAGTTTCTTACTCTTGTAGCAGTTATTTAAAAAAGGTTATCAGTTATCCTAATCTTTCTCAGAATACCACTGCTTCAATTACTTATGACACCTAGAGAGATCAAATCTGAGACCTACAAGTGTTCTACACCACAACAGGAGTTAAAAACCATGTGATAACTGCCTTACCTAAACAGGTTAAGATATGTAGACAATCTCTACCGAACCCACCTATTCTTGTTGGTCTGTTGATAGTGGAAATCTCCAAGAGAAGAGGTTTACTACTGACTGAAGCGGAGTAACCTGTAATATAATAGCCTTGCTCTCCTTTTATTGGGTCATTAATACTCTTTCTGCATTTTCAAACTGACCAAAATGAAACCCACCACCCCACTGATGAATTCACAATTCAATCATAGGTTAAAAACCTTACAGTTGGTAGCAGGTAAAATCATTTAACAATTCAAAACATCACTAGGGCTCTCTTATTTTGGGGGCAATGAGGCAAGATCTAGCAAAAATTAAAATGCACATTTCCCTTGATCTAACAATAGATAACCAGCAATCTACAGTGTAATGATAAAATAATGTGCATGAAGATGTTACCAGGGTGCTTATAGCATTATTTTTACTGTGAAATTTCACAAATGTGCTTAGTAAATGTAGTTTAAAGAATAAAATGAACACACAAATAACTCAAACCTAGTTTATTTTTGCCTAATTTATATATATAAAATATTAACTTAGGTACATTTCTGTGATGTTTTTTTGGTTCAACATTGTTTTTGAGTTAATCTATGTTGAATGCAACTATGGGGTTCACTCATTCTTCATTACTTTCTAGGATTCCATTGTGAGAACACACCACAATTTGCTTATCCATTCTACCACTGATAGACACTTGAGTGGCTGTGGAGTTGTTTGTGTGTCAACTTGGCTGGGCCTGGTTGAGTGGCTGGGCAGCTGGTGGTAGTTATTCCCCATGATGAGATTGGCAATCAACTTCATGGTGGGAACAGCTGCCTTTGGGATGTGGTCTGCTTCCTGTATATAATGAGAAGCTTTGGGAATGGTCTCTATCCTATGGCATGCTTGGACATTGCATGTAGCTGTGTCGTTGCTCAGCAGCCTGCTATGCTCTGCCAACCTTGGGACTTACAACAAACTTAAGTTAACAGCCTGCTGTGTGGTTTGGTAACATCGGGACTGTGCCTTTTGACTCGTCAACCTTGGGGTTTCTCAGCCTCAGCACCTGTCTGAGTGAAGAAATGCCTCTAGCTCCAGTGGGCCAGGAGCAGGAGGCAGAGCTGGATCCCAAGGTTGAGGGGCTTTCACCCAGCCCCTAGAGCCTGGAACTTTGAACATGGACTTAAAGCCTCCAAATTGCAAAGAATAAACTCCTGTTTGTTAATGCCATCCCATTTGTGATATATTCTTGTCAGAGCAGACTTAGGTAACTGGAACAGTGGCTTTTATTTCTTGATAATACAAATGTAGTATTATTTTTCAATAAATAATTAAGACACAAATTAAATGACTCTCAATAGGAATTAAACATAGATAAAACAAGGTTATGAAATTATTTTCAAGACACACTATTAAGTGGCAGAAGTACATTGCTCTGTAATACATACATATGACTATCTCACCCATGCTAAAATTTTACATATGTTTATGTATACACACATACACAACTACACAAATACATAGAGATGAAAGAATAAACGTTTGGAAGAATGTATTTTAAGACGAGAGAAAAAACAGACTTCAAGGCAAGGGTAGAAAACGAGTACATGGAGAGGGTCAAAGGGATTTACAAGGTATTTTTTTGCTAGGTGTATGCAACTAACGCTTGCTGTCCAAATTGTACTAACTTTTTCACCACACAATTAGGTCAAATGGAAATTAAAATATTACTTTTATTCACAGCTCTCTAATAGACTGAAAAAAGGTAGCAGGGCCTCTCATTCTCCAAATGAAAATAACTTAGGTCCTCACAATAGGACCAAACTGCCTACCCACTCAAACAGAGGCTGAGAAACTTGTACACAGAGATGAGGTGAGACTGGGCTTGCCAGAGGAAGGCCTCGCCCACCTTGCTTACCAAGTGGAGGGGTAATGAAGGAAAGAGTCCACTATCCTTAAACGGATTACAGCAACTACTGTGGCAAAAAATTTTGATTGAAAACAAAAAACAACTGAAAATAAATACAGGGTGGCAGAAGTTTTTTTTTTTCTGCTTTTGAAGAAGTCATTCCCACTCAATAGTGGTTACATGACCACTCAATGGATGTGAGTCTCTCAGACTCTTACTTCTCTCCTCCAGAGGTGAAACAGGAAAAGATGGTAGAAAAGTAGAAGGAGCTTCCTTCCTACACTTCCCAAAGGATATAGTGCTATGGCCCTTTCCAATGAGGGAAAAAAAATGGGAAAGATGGATTTCCCCACTATACCTTTGAACCGTACAGTTTCAGAAAACATGAATTACCAATTTCTCCATTTTCTGGAGTGTCTCGTCCAGTTTTGCTAGAACTCCGACTGGTGGATTCTGGACTGGTAGCTCGAACAAACATCTTCCATCTTCCTCTTTTAGACATAAGTCTACGCATTCCATCTTGAGATGCTGGCTGGCTGATATCAGAACGTGGACTAGACCCTGACACACTACCATCTCCTTCCTCCAAAGCTCTCAACTCTGCCTACAAGAAACAGTACAAGAAAGTTAGTTTCATCAACTGCTTATCAAATACTTATGTGTTAAAGGAAGTGAATAGCAAGAATGGCAGTCATGATCATATCCTTAAATCTAAACCCTGCAAAGGCAGTAAGTATTTTTTCATTAGAGGTAACTATTACAGTCCATACTCTCTTGCTACTCAGTATGTGCTTACTCGTGATTAGAGCAACATACTGATTTTAAGGGGACAGATTTTAGAGATCTACAATAGACAAATTTTCCAGTGTGTATCTAACAGTAATATGTAGTCCATCTCTACAGCTGGTCCTTGGGTGGTACAGACAGTCCGTGCTAACTCTTAACAAACCTACAAGTTGGTGGTTCAAATTCACCCAGCAGTGCCAGGGAAGCAAAGCCTGATGATTTGCTTCCATGAAGATTACAGTCCAGAAAGCCTTATGGAGCAGTACTACTTACTCTGTAATATGGAGTCGCCATGAATTGAAATTGATTTGATAGCAATGGGTTTGTTTTTGATTTTCTCTATAGCTATAAACAAACAAAATCCCAAACCTACTGTCATTGAGTCCATTCTGACTCATACAGATCATATGAGAGAAAAATGCCTTGTAAACTTTCCAAGGTATCTTTATGGAAGCAGATTGCCACATCTTTCTCCTGCAGAGTAACAGACCTCTGGGTAGCAGCCAACTTAACCACTGTACCACCAGGGTTCCTTTCCACAGCTTTACATTCAAATTTTTCATATAAGGTAAAGCTGTGAACAGGTTCTTCTGGGTTCAGTTATGGCTGACAAAGCACAATCAGGACAGACTGGGATTTGCAAAATGCAAGTCCTGGAACAATAACTGAAACAGGAAAAATTACACGTCAACACCCTGAAAAAAACTTAACCTCCTTCTTAGAAAACAAAGGCAATATATTCACTGCTTAGCAACCAAATCTCTCAACTAGCAGAGTCTGAAACAACAGAGCTCTGATCAAAGATGGTGTCGACTACCCTGCCTTGAATGCGTCACTCTGGTTTTCTGGCAATTATCCAATTTCCCACACCAGACTCTTGAAAGGAATCACTATGCCTCTCCAGAGTCTCCTATTCCAGGGCTTCGACATGTAATTGTTCCCATTCTATCATTTTAGGCACCCACATTTTGCAAATTCAGGTCTGTCCTGGTTTCACTTCACTGGTCATGAACCAGGAAAACTGGTTCTAAGCCCTAATTCTAACATCTGTTAAGATTCTGCCTTATATTTAAGGGTTTTTTAAGGCAACAGATGAAACTTCTTTGAGGAGAGGAGGTGGAGAAAATAGGTAAAAACCAAATCCCCAGCCAGGAAGATTCCCACAGCCATCTTTTAAAAAGAAAAACACATGATATGATACGTTCTTAGTTTTTCTATTGTAAGATTATAAGAGTCATTTAAATTCCCAAACAAACCAATGGCCAATCACTGGCAATCAATTTGCACTCTGGGTTAGAAACGGATTTGTTAATAAGAACTTACAACATTCATTTGTTAAAAGGCTAAAGTTTCATCACTCACTGGACTATCCTTACATCAGAACACCATCAGTCTTTATTGGTTTCAACTACCAAAAGCACCATCAGCACCAGAAGAACTACAGCTCTGTAGCTAAAGTTCTTATTGTAGTGTTAAATATATCTAGACAAAAAGAAAACAAAAAATAAGATCCTAATAATGGTGCCAAGTTGGGCACAATGATTCCCCAGTATGAAGAGACTGAGGGGAGAAAGGCAATTTTAACTTCTATTAAGCCTTCAAAAACTTACTTTTTTCCTTTCTAAAACCAGCTCCAGCTCAAGGGTATCTTGTTCTTCCTCCTCCTCACTTTCTCCAGACTGAACAACACTGCAAAGATCCTCTTGAGAAGGGTCTTCTATACTGTCCATTGTAATTTCCTGAGGCTTTACTATTGTTGCTGCTTCTTCTACTGCTGTACTTGCTTCCTTCACTTCTGAAACTGGCTCCACCACTTCCTTACAAATTACTTTTCTCCTCCATCTTTCTTCTTCTTCTTTTATTCCCTCAGGCAACAAAGGGGCAAGCAAGGATGCCGCCACCCCTTTCTTCTCCTCCTCACTATTCGAGAGTGCTTGAATTCCTTCATTTACTTCCTAAAAAGAAGAAAATAACTTAATCTCACTTAATTCTCACCTATGTTTATCTTCAATAGCTCATGTTAATACTGACTGTATTTTTCAATCACTGAATAGCCACCCCCAATGGATTAGTGTGTATGTTTGTACTAGTCTCCCTGTAACACTTACTTTAGGAGGGCAGTGACTGACTTAGAACCTAGTTCATAACTATTCTCAACAAGTAAGAAACAGAAGAAGACTTAATTAAGACTGCAGTTTTGTCAGCTGAACACTTGACTGCATAAAGCTTCCCCTTCCCCTTCTGTATGTTGAGATAACCTCACAGGATTGTTGTGAAGGTGATTTAGAGGCAAGTGAAATATTTCTAAAATGAAATGTGTGGTTACATAAAGTGTCTTTTTCTCAAAATAATACTAAGTTGTGAAGAGTACACTATTCTAAAAGTACTTTCTGATGATACACAAAATGCTCAAGTTGCACTAATACTAATTTTTAATTTTTAAGGTAGCTGATCTTATTATTTTAAAAAATCTTACATAGAACCTCACAACAATAAGAACTATTCTGTCTGAAGTTATTCTGGGAATCTGAAGTGTTGCCTGCTCCTGCATCTTTCATAATGACCTAAGGGGCCTCTGTGGAACCCTCAAGTCCCAAAAATAACCACAGGCTGGGTAACTGCTATAAATGCTAAATAAACAAGCAGAGTAAGTGAAATCTCAAGGAACAGAATTTATCTTATTTTACAACTGCATCATAAAAATCAACAGCAGCTTTCCCCACCAGCATTCAGTCACATGAATATTCTTTAGCTCTGAAAATAAGCACGAGTTCAGTTGGAACACTGACCTTTTTAACCTCTCGCTTGGCTATGACTGGTCCACTTTTACTACTGGAAACAGTTTTTTCCTTAGTAAACACTTCTGCATTTACCACAAAACTAGCTTCAGCACCTGCTACAGAACTAAAAAGAAATATATTTAGCAAGAGAAACAAGGCAAACATTTTCAGCAAAATACAAGACTGTACCCCTTTCTGAGTAATGTCTTTTCAAGGCCATTTTTACCTGGGTTGGTAATGTTGTAATCCCTGTACCTGGGTGGCAAGATATTGGGGTAACTCCCAAGTCACTTCATTTGTCTGTGTGTTCCAATAGTAATAACATCCTGTGTTCTCATCCCAGACTTCTTGCCAATCACCCATCTCAATTTCGACTAGAAGAAAACGAAACAGATTATGAAGCCCATTTCTCCTCAATTTTGAAAGCTGATCCCAAATCATCTCTAAGCTATAAAAACCTAAGACAGGGTCTCCTTAACCTTTGCCTTAGTAACAGTCTCGGCCAGGGAATTCTCTGTTGTGTTCATTACAGGGTATTGAGCAGCAGCATCCCAGCCTCTACCCATTAGACATTAGGATCAGCACTCTCCCAGTTGTGACAACCAAAAATGTCTCCAGACATTTCCAAATGTGTCCTGGGGGACAAATCTCACTCAACTGGGAACAAATGACATAACAGTTAGAATTATTTTCTCAATACACATTTACTGAGTCATCTTTGTACACATGGTTTAAAAAACCAGTTTGCTAGTTGAACAATGCATCTGAACCCCCAAAGTTCTTTTTTAATCTTAATTATTTACCAAACATAATCTGCTAGTTAAATGGGCACACAATTCCCTTCCAAAGACAAAATGTCTGGGCTTTCACCTTTAGAAATCTCAATCACTAGAACACCTTTAAGGACTGTACTTTCGATGGCTTTAAAAATTAAAGAACCAAGCTCACCTCCTGCCAGTGAACACTGAGTATCATACTGCCACCCTGATATTTGGGTTGAGTCTGTCCCATTTGAAGCAGTAGAAGAAAGGGCAGATGTTGAAGATTCCTTGGGCTCCGGACGAGGTGGAGTTGGAGGTGGAGCAGAAGCTCCCACAGGAGCTACAGGCTGAGGAGCTGTTATGGCATCAATCTCCTTTAGAATGAAAACAGAAACAAATGCATTAATTTTATCAAAAGTAGAAACTTTGGGAAATAACAATCATTTGAAAAAGAAAAGAGGGAGAGAGAAGAGGAGGGGAGGAGGAAGGAGAGAGAGACAGAGAAGGAGGGAAAGGAACAATGTGAGATTGACAAAGTAGGATAATCACTTGAGATCCAGATTCCAAAGTGGCTTCAATAACTAAAATACCAAACAAAAGCAATGCTAACCGCTAGGAAGTTGGCCAATGTACTGTCAATATCAGATGACTGATTTCCATTTGCCTCTTTGGATTGTGCTGTTTTTTCCGAAGCATCACTCTCCTCATCATCACTGTCAGCATATGCACCAAGTAAGCAAAGACCTCCTTAAAAAAAAAAAAAAGGAAATCAGTAATAACAATGTCAGTACCTCAGAGGAAGCATTAAAAAAAAAAAGAAGTTTACAATGACTTTACTTACAGACTAGAACACAGCTTTAAAATTAAAAATCACGGAACTACTGGAGATGTGTAAGTTCTACCAGTATGCACTTAGAGATAATAAAAATCCACACCTTCCCAATCTATTCGATCTCATTCTCTTTCAAAATAGCAAACAGCATATCAGGCATTTTAGGCTGGGTGGCGCAGGCAATTTGCAATCACTTGCTAGGGCAAAGGCTAGCAGGTCAAATACAATGAACAGCCCTGTGGAAGAAATACCTGGCAAACTGCTTCCATAAAGATTAAAGCCAAGAAAATGCTATGGAGTGGTTCTTCTGTGTAACCCACAGGGTCACCCTGAGTCAGGGGCCAAATTGATGGCAGCTAACAATAATAACATAGTACACATTTAGGAATTTGGTGATTAGTATCTCCATCTCCAAACAGCACTAGAAACAGGAAGTGATAGGAATTAAAAGGGAAATCAACTAATAGGTTGTTGTGTTGGTAGGTGCTGTTCAGTTGGCTCCAACTCATGGTGATTCTATATACAACAGAATCAAACATTCACAATCCCTGCTATACCTGAGCCCGTCATTGCAGCCACCGTGTCAAACCATCTCACTGAATACCTTCTCCTTTTTTGCTTACCCCCCACTTTATCAAGAATTCTATCTTTCTACACGGAATGGGCTCTTCTGACAACATGAGACAAATTCTGGCTAGTCTCACTTCAAAGGAGCATGCTAGTTGTACTTCTTCCAGGATAATCTGTCACTTCTTTTAGCAGTCCATGGTACTTTCAGTATTCTTCACCAGCACCACAATTCAAAAGCATAAACTCTTCTTTGGTCTTCCTTACTCACTGTCTAGCTTTCACATGCATGTGAGGCTACTGAAGATACCATGGCTTGGGTTAGGCAAACCCTAGTCTTCAAAGAGACATCTCTGCTCTTCAGCACTTCAAATGTCTTTTGCAGCAGACTTGCCTAGTGCAATACGTCATCTGATTTCTTTACTGCTGCTTCCTTTGGTGCTGACTGTGGAAACAAGTAATATGAAATCTTTGACAAGTTCCATCTTTTCTCCATTTATCGTTATTGGTCCAATTGTGAGGATTTTCCTTTTATGTTGAGGTGTAATCCATACTGCAGACTGTAGTCTTTAATCTTCATCAGTAAGTGCTTCAAGTCACCCTCACTTTCAGCAAGGAAGGTTGTGTCATCTGCATACCACAGGCTGTTAATGAGTTTTCCTCCAATCCTGATATCGTGGTTCATCTTCATACAGTCCAGCTTCTTGGATTAGTTGCTTACCATACAGATTGAATAAGTATGGCGAAAGGATACAACCCTGACACACTCCCTTCCTGATTTTAAACCATGCAGCATCTCCTTGTTCTGTTCGAACAACAGCCTCCTAGTCTATGTATAGGTTTCTCAGGAGGAGAATTAAGTGTTCTGGAATTCCCATTCTTCTCAATGTTATCCATAACTTGTTATGATCCACAGTCTAATGCTTTTGCATAGTCAGTAACACACAAATAAGCATATTTCTGGTATTCTATGCTTTCAGCCAAGATCCATTTGACATCAGCAATGATATACCTTGTTCCACAGCCTTTTCTGAATCCAGCGTGCATTTCTGGAAGTTCCCTGTCAATATACTACCACAACTGTTTTTGAATTATTTGAAGCAAAACTTCACACTTGCATGTGCCATTAATAATATTGTTTGATAACTTCTACATTGTTTGATCACCTTTCTTTGAAATGGGTACAAATATGTACCTCTTCCAGTCAGTTGGCCAAGTGGTTGTCTTCCAAATTTCTTGGCATAGACGAGTAAGTGATGCCAGTATGACATCTGTTTGTTGAAACATCTCAATGAGAATTCCATCAATTCTTGAAACTTTGTTTTTTGCCAATTCCCTCACTCAATGCAAATCTGACTTCTTCCTTTAATACCATCAGTTCTTGATGATAAGCCACCTCCAGAAATGAAAGAACACTGACCAACTCTTTTTGGTACGATGACTGCATATTCCTTCCATCTTCTTTTGATGTTTTCTGCATCATTCAGTATTTTGCCCATAGAATCTTTCAATATTGCAACTCGAGGCTTGAATTTTTTCTTCTGTTCCTTCAGCTTGAGAAATACTGAGTGTGTTCTTCCCTTTTGGTTTTCAAACTCCAGGTCTTCGCACATTTCATTGTCAGTAACTATGTCTTACTGAGCTGCTCTTTGAAACTTCTGTTCAGTTCTTTTATCTTGTCATTTCTTCCATTTGCTTTAGCTACTCTCCGCTCAAGGGACAGTCTCAGTGTCTTTTCTGACATCCATTTGTCTTTTCTTCCTTTCCTTTTTCATAACCTTTTGCTTTCTTCATGTATGATGTTCTTGATGTCATTCCACAATCAGTATGGTTTTTGGTCACTGGTATTCAATGCATCAAATCTATTCTTCTGTCTCTAAATTCAGAATGGATATAATCAAGGTCATATTTTGGCTCTTGTAGACTTTTTTAATTGTCTTCAGCTTCAATTTGAACTTCCATATGAGCAGTTGAATATCTGTTCCACAGTCAGCTCCTGGTCTTACTTTGACTGAAGATTCTGAGCTTCCCCATCACCTCTTTCCACAGATGTAGTTTATCTGATTTCTGTGTATTCCACCTGACAAGGTCCACATGTATAGCCACCGCTTATGTTGTTGAAAAAAGGTATTTGCAATCAGTAAGCTGTTGGTCTTGCAAAATGCTATCATGTGCTCTCTGGCATCATTTCTATCACAAGTTTGTATTTTTCTACTACTGGTGATTCTTCTTTGTTTCCAATTTTTGCATTCCGATAACCAGTAATAGTAATATATCTTGAGTGCACATCTGGTTAATTTCAGACTGCAGAAGTTGGTAAAAATGTTCATTTTCTTCGTCTTTGGCAGTTGGTAAGTAAATGTGAATAATAGTCTTATTAACTGGTCTTCCTTGTAGGCATATGGATATTATCCTATCACTGGACAACAATGTACTTCATGATAGATCTTGAGACACTTCTTGTGATGATGAATGCCATGCCATTCCTCTTCCATTTGTTATTCCTGGCACAGTAGATCATATGGTTGTCTGATGCTAAATGGCCAAAACCAGTCCATTTCAGTTCACTAATACCTAGGATACTAATTTTTATGCATTCCATTTCATTTCTGATAACTTCCAATTTTCCTAGATTCATACTTCGTACCTCCAATGTTCTGTATTAATGGATGTTTCCGGCTCGCTCTTCCCATTTTGAGTCGTGCCACATTAGTATACGAAGGTCCCGAAAACTTTACTTTATCCACATCATTAAGGTCAACTCCACTTTGAGGAGGCAGCTCTTCCTCAGGTTTCCACTGGCCAATTCTTTGAGAAGTGGATGGCCCCTTTCCTTTTTCTGAGTCTGTCTTAGATACTTCTCAAACAGGATGTGATAGGATTAAAATGGGAAACAAAAAGTAGGCTGAACCCATTATCAATGACTTCTTCAAACTCCTCCTTAATGCTATAATTATATGTAAATATACATCCACACTCTATATATTCCTTTATTAGCATAAGCATAAAAACAAAGAAACCCACCACCATTGAGTTGATTCTGACTCAAAGCAACCACCACTGGGTTTCTAAGGCAGTAAATCTTTATGGAAGTAGACGGACCCATCTTCCTTCTGCAGAGTGGGTGGTGGGTTTGAACCACCAATCTCCTGGTTAGCAGTCAAATGCCTTAGGCACTATGCAACCAGAACTCCTGTATGATAAGCATATGAAATATTAAACTTTAGCCTAACTTTTCTGCTATTAATAAGACAATTTTACAATGCCTGGTATATTCTATGTTCTCAGTAAACAAAATCTAGTTTTCTGTCATATATTCAGTAAGTGAACTAATGGGTTCATCTAAAAGTAAACCTAAGCTGTTCTGTTCATTATACAAGTTTACATTTAATGCAGTAGTCACATGTCTTGCTTTATTTTTTAGTACACAGGTTAAGTTCTTATAATACATATTCATTTCAACCTGCAAAATATTATTTTAAATGGGTTAGAATGACTTTCATGTGGGTAATTCTCTGACAGTGTTTCCATTTTCCAAATATTTTTACTTCTTTCTTGTTTTGAAGCATGCTGGTAAATTTTCCTTTCTCTTTTTTTGCAAAAAGGACAAGGAGGCCACATGTTCTGACCTCCTCTAACCCCACAAAAGGAAGACAGAATCACTATTAGTAACCCAAGGCCTATTCCGACAAGGCTAAACATGCTGCCTCCCTCTAGCCCTCTCACCAAGTTCCTCCCAAAACACCCACCACCTAGCACCTGGGTTCGATAATTCACTGCAGTGGCCACACAGAACTCACAGGTTACAGAATTTATTAGGGGAGCACAAGGCTACAATTCGAGTTTAGGAAAAAATGCTCAATCTCTTTCCCAGCCCACCATCTCTCAACAAACAGTCTCTCACAGTCTCTCTCCCAGCAGTGCGTGCCCCTCGGTGTCTCTCTTGCGTCTCTTTCCCGGCAGCATGTGTCTCACAGGAGCGCGTCCTTCCTCAGCCAGCAGTCAGAGAGAGTTCTGCCTCTAGGAGGCCTCCTTTTGAGCCTGGCAGAGTGGCCAAACTAGCCAATCATAGCATCAGAACTCTAAGCACCTGAGAGAGAGTTGGAACCTCCCAAAACACTGTTTTGTGCCACTCCCAACAGAAATACTCCAGGTGGACAACTTTAGCAATCAGGAGCTCCTCAGTTGCTCATAGCAAATCCCACCCTGGAGTTTACAAAGACTTATGGGTAGAAAAACCACACTAAGTAATTTACTACACTGCATTTTTAAATTGTGATTTGGGTGAAAATTTACAGAGCAAATTCACTTACCATACAGCAGTTCACATACACTCTGTCGCATGACA